GGGATCGAACTCAGGACCTCGTGCTTGCCAGGCAGGCGTGGTGCCACTGAGCTACATACCCAGCCCATAATGTTTTAATTTAAAGCTATAAAATTACAGTGGAATAATGTCCAGCTATATAGTGTTTGCTTTGGAGTATCCCTCCTCCATCCTCCTTCTCCTTCCTAAAGTGGAACACGGGGTTGTTCTGCTGAAATGAGCAAGATCATCACCTAGTGGTCAGTCCCTCAAAGTGCTGACAAGGTCTGTCCCAGGAGCACAAATGTGCTCAGTCCTGGTACTCACCATATGTTAATTCAGCGAACATTGACTGGGACTCTCTGCCAGACACTATTCTGGGGCCTGGGATATAGAGCTGCTAATGAAAAATGACAAGTTTAAAAATAAAATTAAGGAAGTGTCAATCCGGAAACAGGAGCCCTCTCAAAGTGACATTGTGTTTTAATGTGTTTATTTTCCTCTGGTTTTTCATAGATCATAGATGAAGAAGAAACCCAATTTATGAGTAACTGCCCTGTGGCAGTCACAGAAAGCACCCCCCGGAGGAGGACACGGATCCAGGTGTTTTGGATAGCACCACCCGCAGGAACAGGCTGTGTGATTTTAAAGTAAGTGAACATGGGCTCTTTACAGCATTTTTTGTTCCTTCCCTGACATTTACCAAAGGCTTTATGGTGTGGTTGCAGAAAGAGATTTGGCTTTACCGGGGCATTAAATAAGTGGTGTCATCTCTCTGCCATCCATTATCTCTGTTCCAAAATGGCACCATGGACCATCTCTGGTAGAATGCTACATAAGGAATCATTTGCCTGAATCTATTGTCATCCAGTAGGGTGATTCTCCTGATCACTCTCTATCTTGCTAGAGATAATGATGCCAGGGCTGCTTGAGAGAAATTACCATCCAAATAGAAATAATCATTAACTACTCCATCTAGAATAACATTTTTGCATTTCATAGAACTCCCGTCAACTAGAAACCTTACTCTGTTCTTAGGCTGACCTGAGGCCCAAATGTAACCTTTCTTAACCAGGACCTTTGCTTGATGATCTTACCTTCTTCCTGGCCATCAAGATTGCCCTCTATTGCTACTTCCCATCTGGCCCCCCAATCCTACCCTTGTTGAGTTACAATAGGTGACAAGAGGTAATGACTAGACAAAAGAGTTTTCCTCTGAAAGGCAACATTGTCTCAAATCTGTGTCTCTACAACTTTCTACTATAAAATTATGTGGGAGATGTAAACAGATGGGGAGGAAAACAATTTCTTTGGTCAAATAAATGTATCAAATGTTGTGTACTGACTGGATCCCTTTCTTACACATTCACAATACATGCTCCCGTATTGAATGTTTTGCAAAGTCTTACCAAAAAAAAAAAAAATCTGTTTGATTTCACCAGCATCTTCCAAACTTAATTTGACCATAAATCTCCTTTTATTTTTTCTTTTTGTAGTGACATCAATGAACATTCACCACATTGGGAAACATAGCCATAATCTATTTTAGTAGATTTAAAGGCCTCTAGGGACTGATGCTGAGAATTTTAGGTTCTCAAACAGGTACATAATCATGATTAGATGGCAGGGCTTCAACCCTAGCATCCAAGAAGTCATTTCTTCATGAAAATGAGAGCTGGGACCTTCTGAACCATCTTCTACTTCTTTGCTACTCTAAGGCCCTATGTATTAGGTTCATTTCCCAAATGCAGACATCTCAACACACTCAAACCTGTGATTAATCCAGCTCACCCCTGAGGAGATGCTGATAAGAGAGCCTCCCATGGTGGCGGTTCAGTCCCTGCAGTACCTAGAAACTGCAAGGAATAAAGCCCCACAGAGGACTCTGGAAGTGCCTGTCCATTGTCTAGACTCAGTCCTGCTTTTGTCTGGCCTCCCTTTGCTGCCATTTGTTTGAATAACATTCATTTTTTTTCATGGTTTAATGCGAGCTGAGCATCTTTCCTCGGATTCTTGGCAAAGTTTGATTCTTGGTGTTCATCTATGTTACCGATTTTTTTTAAAAAAAGCAGAATTGTTTTTAAATGAAATATCGATAAATTACAATATTAAACATACATCTAATATCTAGTTACAATGCTGAAGAAATGGGGGAAATGAGCAAAGACCACTGGTAAAAGAAGCTGTGTTCAGAGCTTGCTATATAACCAAGGAGCCTTCTGCAATCTCTGGCATTTGGCATGCAGAGGAATGGGGAAGCCTTGTAGTGACAAAAGGGAAGGTTTTAGGTCTGCACTGCTGCGAAGTTGTTGGCATGGGAAAGCTGGAAGCAGACTAACTAGAAGCAGCGCATTTTATATGATGAGTATGGAAGACATATTTGACTTTCCTGAGTTGAAAGCCACAGGAGCAAAAATAGAAAAGTGGGCAATCATTGATCAATTCCGGATGTTCAGAGCTGACTTTTGCAGAGGCTTGGGTCCTGGCTGCTGCCTGTTAGTACATTTGGTCTCTCGGCCTGGAGACTGGGTTTGGCTCACCAGTACCCAAACCCCCTAGCTCATAGTAGGCCAATCACTCCACCAAGTGCGGGGCTGTAAAGAAGGTAATTTGCAAACTGGCCCACATCTCTGGTTTTCTTTAATTTATTGTTCTTTCAAACCAGAACAATTTGATCTCCCTGGTAGAATCCAGAAAGGCATCTCTTGTTTACCCACTAACGATCAACATATGTGAACATATATTTATCCATTAACAATTAACATATGTGGCTTGTTCATTCACTTATTCAATAGATGAAACTGGGCTTCCATTTGCCCAAGAATCCAGGATATCTACCCAGCCTATGTATGTTTTCAGCCCTGGAGTTCTCATAGGTCAAATGGAAGAGAGAGAAAAAATCAGCCAGTACTCTCTATGTACCAGGAACTCAACTGCACATCTAGCTGACTTTGACTAATCTGAGTTTCACAGCAAACTACTCCATTTTAAAGAGAGGAGAAAGTCCCAGGGAATTAGGCAGATTCTTGAAGTTACGTACATTTAAATCTGAAGTCTTTGCTCTTCCTTTATTTTTTCTGAAGGGATTATATAGAAACTACTACTGTTCATTAAAAAGAATAATGTTTTTATAAATAAGACAAATACATTCACATTGTAAAGTTTCAAATACAAAAAATAATGAAATACAGAATGTAAAATACAGAACAAGCAAAAAATCCCTGGTATCTCCTCCAATAAATCCCAGTTTCCTGTACAAAGGCAGCAATAGATATCAATTTGTGGTGTATGCTTTAAACTTTTATCCATGCATTTATATTCATAAAGAGAAACATAAGGATGGCTTCATTTCTGTGAGAATTTAAGAATGCACATGGTATTGTGGTATACACAATGTCCCAAACTTGAACAGTCTTTCATTCGAGAAAACATTTTCGAGATTTGTCTAGATCAATACATATAGATCTACCTGGGTTTTTTAAGCTACTGAATATAATCTTTGGTATGAATGTTAACTGTTCCACAGTTGATGGATAATTACACTATTTCTAGTTTTTACTATTACAAATAATGCTATGATGAACATCCTGGTTTACTCCTATTTCAGCAAATATGCAATCTTTTATCCACAGTAGATGCAAAAAAAAAAAAGGATCATAGGGCCAGGGATTTAGCTCAGTGCTTTCGCCACCTGCTGTGCAAGCCCAAGGAGCCAAGTTCGATCCCCGGTACCAAAAAAACCCAAAAAGCAAAGGATCATAAGGAAGACATATTTGTTATTTTAATAGCCACCACCAGATTTTCCTTCAAAAGGCTTGCCATCTTACATACTCTCCCTCGCTATGAACAAGAGAGGTCACATCCTTTCTGGTTCAATAGCCCTTTGTGTTACCAAACTTTAAGATTCTGCCAGTCTGACAGTTTAAAATGGTTATCTTACATTTACTTACATTTCCTTGATTACTAGCATTTTATGAGGCTTTTCATATAGTATTTATTCCACTTGTATTACTCCCTCTGTGAATGGCCTGTTAATACTCTTGTCTGTTTCTCTAATGTTTCTTTTTAAAGTTGATTTTATATTTTTAAAATATATAGATATTAAATTTATATATGTAATATACTTTATATATATATATGTATTTTAAAACTTATAAAATACATCATTTTATTTAAAATAAATTCATATTTAAAATTAATCTCTATATAGTCCAGATAACATTTTATTATAAATTTCAAATATTTCTTTCTACCTTTCTGTTAACTTTGTTCATGAGTGTCTAATCATCCAAGAGTTTGAAGTTTTGATTTAGCCAAATGCATACATCTTTTTCCTTGTGGATTTTGATTTTGTATGTTGATTAAAAATTATTTTCCTATGCCCAAGGTTTTTAAGGTTTTAAAAAAGAAATCTAAGATCTTCCTATAATTTAATTTTGTGAATGATGTGGTGTCAGTAAGTCACAACAGGAAATAGATAGCATGTTCAAAATGAGGTGCCAAAGGAGACTTGAATAAGGGGTCTTTTACAATAGAATGGGCAAATTAACAGAGTGGGTACAGTATACCACCCAGGCTTGAGGAGGCGCCAGAGGGATGGAGAGGATGAGGTGAAGACCACTCCCTTCTAAGAGCCAAGATCTTAGGCTTAGGGAAGCAGCTAGCTTGAGAACCTCAGGCCTCCCCTCTTTCCCTGTTTTCCTTGGATTCTCCCATTTGGCCTGGCCCCACCCATGAAGATCATGGAGCCCATGATACAGTCCATGCAGAGTATCCACTCAGGCAAAGACTGGATGCAGAAGGATGAGCAGGTATCTGGAGGAACAAAGCAAAGGTAACAATGCCAATGAGAAATGAAAATCCACCTCTTTTCTCAAAAATAAATAGTTGTCCTACATTTATTTATCAAATAGTTTATCCTTTTCCCAATTGCTTGAAATGCTATTTCTTCAAATACAATTTGAAGTGTGTGTATGGTTCTTGGATTGAACTTAGGCCCTTAGCACTGAGCTACATCCTTAGCCTCATTTTAGTTTTTATCTTGACACCCAGGTTAGGCTGAAACTTGGCAATTCTTGCACCTCAGCCTCCCACAGTGCTGGGATTTCAGGCATGCACCAAAAATATAAAATTTTCCTACATCTCTGTTCTGTTTTGTTGATCTTTTTTTCTTTTCTTTTATTTTCTTTTTTTTTTTTTTTGGTACCAGGGATCGAACTCAGGTCCTTGTGCTTGCACAGCAGGCAGCAAAACCACTGAGCTAAATCCCTGGCCCTCTATTGATCTTTTATCTGTTCCTCCATGATGCCTGCACCACTTTATAGCATAATTTTATGTTTTGATAACCCATCCTTACTCATTAATCTTCAGTGTACAATGTCCTTGGCCATTCAAGCAGATTCATAATTCTAGGTGAATCACAGAATAAGTTTCTTGTTTTCAAAAAACCCTATATTGGGATTTTGAATGATGTTGCGGTGAATTAATAGTTTTGTTTTTGTTTTTTTTTTTGGGTACTGGGGATTGAACTCAGGTCCTTGCGCTTGCACAGCAGGCAGCAGGCGGCGAAACTACTGAGCTAAATCCCCGGCCCTAATTAATGGTTTAATATAGGCAAAGTCAGCATATGTAGCATATGTGTTTCCAGTAA